CCGGATACCTCCGCCTCCGCATGGATGTTGAAGTCACCCAGGACCAAAAGTCTCGGGGACTCCAACAGTGCCGCGGAGACGAAGTCCGCCAGCTCCGGTAGGGAGGTGGCTGGGTTGCTGGGAGCGCGGTAACCCAGCAAGATCCCAATACCATCCCTGGCCCCAATCCACACATGGAGAGCCTCCAGACCCGGCCTCACAAGTGAGGAGCGCCTAGTAACCTCTAATGATTTTCTATAAACAATGGCAACTCCCCCCCCGCCCCTCCAGCTAAGCTCGAAGAACTAAGCTAGTCTCCTACTGTCCTGCATCACTTATTGAGAAATAGAGTCCCACATAAAGCAGGTCTATGGTCTTCCTTACCTGCTTGTGGCGTATACAACCGCTTCGACTCCACCAAGACAGATCCCGGACCATGAGCCAAAAAAGGCCATACAACGAAATTCACAGACACCCAGAGACCAGACACATGCACACACATAACATTCCCCAAACACTCCCCACCCACTAGAAGTCCCCCACTAAAAATACAAACATCTACACCTCAGGCCAAGTAACACAGTCCAACTAATTATTCACTACTGGTGGTCTTTAAGGTCATTATTAAGTGCAATTATAGCTCTAGGATAAAAACTATTTAGATGAAGCTATTTAAAAAAACAAGGTTTGGATAAACTTGAAAAATAATACAAATTTATGGGCGGGGGGAGGTTAGGGTTTGGAGAAACCTGACAATTTTCCAGGATAATGGCAGACGTAATAGTTTTAGAAAACAAATAAGCAATTTAATACTGTATTTTAACACATTCCCTGACCGTGTTTGTGGTGGGCCATGGTTTTCTCAATTACAAGGGAGCAAAAGCAAAAAGGGCTTCCCTTTTCGTCCCATTAACCACCTCAGATGCATTTATTTCAAATATTTTTTTTGAAATGCAGCAATCTTTAAATCAAGCTATTTAAAAAAACCACAGAGTACTTGGTAAACCTGTGGGAGAAACCAGAGGCCTTTCTGGCCAAAAAAGAAAAAAAAAGAAATGAAAAAAAATTCTTTTTATTTAAGAGTTACAAATCCAGTGGGTTTCACCCTCAGAGGGGACGAAAAAAAGAAATCTAAACCTTTCCCAGGCGATCTTTGAACGCAGAGCTTTCCCTGCCCAGTTATTACTTCCTCAGAGTAACGGCTTCCTCTTCTTCTTCTTTTCTTTTTTTCTTTTGCCCCTTATTAATTAAACCCTCTCCATGGGCGCCGCCATCTTGGCCCCCCCTGCGCAGCGCCAATCGGCGTCAAAAACGCGGTTTGACCTCACTCGAGCCCCGTTGTTGTTCCTCCCTGCGGCGCCTTTTGCGCCTATGCCTAAGGGTGGCGGAGGCCCCACCCATGTCACGGGGTTGGTGGTGGCGGCGGCGGCGCCTCCAGCCAATCGGGAGCCGCGCATCGCGTGACGCTCTCGCGGGGCGTCGGGCCAATGGCGAGCGCGGAGGGAGTGGCCGGGCAGATGAGGCGGGCAGGGAAACGCAGCTTTCGGAGGCCGACCAGGCCTGGCTTCTGAGTGTTGTCGCAGCTGCCGCCAGGCCGGCGCCGGGTGGCTGGCAACCCTCCCGAGATGGCGGTG